GCAAACTCATATCTAAACCCAGTGTTTAGTTACCCACTAGGTTTTTTAATAATTCAGTTGAACCAAATGTTCAAAAGCAATATCAGGTTTTTATTGGTCAATGATTAGAACATTTTTTATGTATTTTTACCTTCGTCAGTTTCAAGTTATTTTAGTGACTATTGTGGGCTTATTTGGTCATTAACAGACAAGCACCAACCATTTTGTCCATATATTTGTATCAAATATAGATCTAACTAAATGTATGTCTGACTCCATGTAGAAGAGCATGATGGGTATAAATGAACGTCTGCAGCAGCTCAGCCACAGCCGCCTGTTTGACTGAACAAAGAGTTTTTGCTTGAGGCTGAGGAGAAAATCTGCCGTCTTGATGGCACCAAATCCCTTATTTAGTTTTGTTTCGTTCAGTCCCTGCAGTCCCAGATAAGCTGCATGTGTAGGATAAGCGCAGGCTAACCCCGTCTGCCATTACATGCTGGGACCAGGGGCCAAATCTGGACCATGACTGCGGTGGTGGGCGAGCTGTTCGGAGGGCAGGCTGCGGAAACAACGAGGAGAGGATAAAGACGCAAAAAGGAGGAGAAAAGTAACTGTAATCCAATCAGGTTAAGACTTCTGCATAAAATCGGCCTCAATCAGGGTCATCTTATCTGAAACATTCACTGTAAGCCTCCAGGTGGGAGTTTTTCTGCACTTCTTATTCTGAAATATTATTTTACCAACATAGCTCAGAGCAAGGCCGCTCTTTTAAATCCTCTCTCTGTCATAAATCTACAGATTTCCTGTAGAAATGGACGTGTTGGAGACCATTTCATAATATTTACCTTCACCGACTGAAATCTGAGCAATCTTACCGCGCCTCATCTGTCCCTGATGAACTCTGCAGATAAACCGGAAAACAAACGCAAAGTTGAGGGAATAAAATTAATCAGGCTTAAAAAATCCCAGGTGTTTGTTTTATAAAACAACTTCTTCACTTGGGGACTCAAATATTTCTTTAAAAATGTGAAAGTTTTAACAATGATATTGAGCTTTTACTCTGATAATATCAGATATCCGTTATCGGGAGAGAAAAACGTGGATTGGTGGATCCAGAGTTCGACTTAAACATATGAAAATGCATTCCTGTGGCAGTTACAAGACAGGAAGTGGGACGACATGCAGTAAGAGTCTCCATCCCGGTCTGAACGTCCCGCCAGGAGCCGCAATGCGACACCCGGACTCAGCAGGGCTTCTGCTACAGAGTGGAGAATTAGCCAAACCAGAAGCTAATCACAGTGATTGATTGGAGTCGCCTTGTGCGTCGAACGCTGATTGTTGGTTTTGGTTAAAGAGAAGACGACAGAACGTGAGCGAATGGTTCTGCTTCCTTTGTGTTATCGACGTCGGGACGCGTACATGTGGCGGCCGGACCAGGAACGGGTCCAGTGATGGTCCAGATGGAGATTAATGACCCAACCGGGTCGCTGTCTCTGGCTTAATAACGCTTATTCATCACTGTCACACAGGAAGAGCTCAACGCCGGCTTCATAACTGCCTTTATTCCTGATTCCTCATGTTTGTGTCTCTTTCTGTAGATCTGTCCGAGTCGAAGGTCTTGTATGAATGGAAACAACGTGATGTAACTTTTGTAAATGATCAAGACAAAAATGTGTCCCCACGACAGGATGTAAAGGAAATGGTGTAGTAGGTCTGCCAGGCCTGTCGGTGGCGCTGTAGCACTGCCAGAAAACAACAAAAACCAGAAGGGGCCGAATTTATTTACTTTGAAAAGCCGAGAATCTGTTACTGAAGAGTCTGTGACGGCGTTTAGGGACAATGTATGTAGAAAAAGAGAAAAGTAAATTTCTGCCAAAAAGACCCTTAAATTTTGAGATCTCTGAAATTGTCTAGAAAAAAAAAAAATTTCTGAATTTGAAAAGTTGAACATTTGCTAGAAAAACTGAAGGCGTATCAGCGCCATTGGAAATAGAAAACAAATTTTCACAAAAAGCTCAGAAATTTTGAGATTAATCTCAAATTTTCAGAAACAAAAGCTGGAAATTTGCCGAGTTTGAAAAGTCAAAAATGTTCCAAGTTCCTTTTAGAAAGAAGGATTGACCTCAAAATTTGTGAATTCTTTGCAGCTAATTTTTAACTTGAGGAGCGTAGAGATTTCCATGTTTTCCAAAAACAATTATTCTCAAAATGTCTTAGTTTACTTTCTTTTATTTATTTTTATTACTTTTGGATCTCAGTAACTTGGGGTTAATCTGACATTTTTCTTTAAAAAAGTGTAAATATCTAAAATTTATCTACGAATTTTAGACTTTATAGCACATTTTTACATTTTTCACCTTTGAAACTTAGAAATTTATGAAAAAAGTTTACAGAAAATTATTAATATAAAATAGTATTTTTTGATGGACATTTACTCTTTTTTTAAAAATCTACAATAGCCCTAATACGCCTTTATGAGACATTTTATTCTTTTCAACTCAAATTAAACAAGAATAAATATGTATCTCCAGATATATATATATGATACCTTCCTTTGTTTTTAAAAACTGGAGCTATTTTGAATCATCATCCGTTTAAACAAACTAAAATATATACAAGTAGTTTTGCTTTAATGAGACACAAACTTACTTTTTTTTGTTAAGTTCATGTTTCCCCCTGGTTGCTCTGAATGACAAAACTTTTGCAGAAACCCCTAAAATGTGTGGATGTGACCTGAAAATGGGTGGATCTGCAGCCAGCTCAGCCTGCGGAGCCAATCAGAGCCACGCGAAGCGTGTGTAAACACGTTTTTATGTGATTTGAAAGCACAGGGCTGAGAGCCGATGAAAGGAGGCTGGAAATAAAAAGCAGCCGACATTGTGGAGGAGAAAATAAGGCACCTCTGGCCTTCCACTGCTGCGTGATTGAAAGCCATTTTGTTTCGTGTGCTTCTGCCTTCTTTCTGCAGCACTTCTCCTGGTTAGGCATTTCTCTTTCTAATAGGAAATAAAGAGCGGCGAGCGGCCCAGATAGGGACGCCAAATGAAAAACACGGAGCCAGTGACCCGAGGCTGGGACCCGTCCATCTACGTCGCCCAAAGTCTGAGCTTTTCTCCTCCGTCTGCAGAATAAAGACGTCGTAATATTTCTGCTGCAGACTTGAAGCGTTTCCAGGCTGTAGGTGTGATTTCTATTTATGTGAACGACCGATATAGACGAGCAGAAGGTGACGAGAACGCCTTAATCTCCGTCTTGGCGCAAATTGGATCCTTTAAAAAAAAAAAAATCTGTGCTGTATGAAGCCTAATGCACATTAAAATGTTTTCACATCCCTAAACTTTCGCCTTTTGTCCCGATTTTATGTGGAGAACCAACATGAAGTTGTTCAGATCAGTGAAGTGGCAGGAAAATAAATCAGTTTCAATGTTTCCAAAATGTGTGGTTATTTTTTTAGTGCGACTCTGAAACATCTACAGACTGAAATTCTTCACCAATGACTCAGATAGAGCTGGGAGTCATTTCTGTTTTTGGCTCAGATTATCCACTATGTTTAGGTCTGGACTTTGACTAGGCCAAGTGTCTGCAACCTGCAGCTCTTTAGAATGATAAAATAAAATTAGAGACTGGATTAGATTAAAATTGACTAAATCACAAAGTTTGTAATTAATTGCATTTTAATCAAAAACCATAACCAACATTCCCAATTTAAGAAAATGTTTTACTACCAAGTTACATTTAAGCTAAAAATGTAAGTTTTTTTTTATAGCTTAAACAAATAAATGTATTGTTTTTAATCTGTTATTTTGGCTTTTAAACCATCAGATTTCAGCTTCTGAGTAATAATTCATGAAAACGATATAATTCTTTAGAAATGTGTACCGCGGAAGCTAACATTAGCATTAGCATCTGTCCTGAGGCTACATGTTTAGCATTGAGATGCTATTTTAGGTTTGAATAATTTCACTGTTAAGCTAACTCCTTTTAGCACAATAGTCTTTTTCAGCGTCCAATCAGATCAGGTTTGAAGAAAAAAATTAAACTCCAGTGGGACAAAGGAGAGGCTTTATCGTCTCCGTTAGCGGACGCAACTTGTACGTCAGATTTAGAGGCGTACCAGAAACACAATACAAAGGTTCCCCTAGAAACTTCTGTGTATAAAAAAATAATGCAATTGTGTTAAACTAAAATATAAATCATAACTGAACAGTTATTGTTCAGGCATTTTAATGGAATATTTAGAATTGACCATTAGTATAAATGAATAAATTTTATCTACATTCTTTTTCATAATATTCAAGTGATTTTCAATGAAATTGTAATGAGATGAAATAAAAACGTGTTCGTTGTTTTATACCCACAAGGGGCATTTGGTCCTCACAGTGTAGTATTAGAGAAAATTGTCCTCACAAGGTGAGAAATGTTAAAACACACTCAGCTTTCATGCATGTTGTCAGGTTGTGTAAATCCAGATGTTCAACCGCAGCAGGTGGAAATGACCCTCCGCCATGTTGATTTATCCCAACATCTGGATCTGTTCAGTGAATCTTTCTGTCCAGTAAAAACTCAGCCAGAACCCAGACGGTCATCTGTTTTTTTACATATAAAACAAACAATAAAAACCACCAGAAACATTTAAAACCCAATAAGAGCAGCTGACTTTACTTCAACTTCTCCAAATATTAAAGTTTTACTGAAATAGAAAGACTAAAATATTAATTCAGACCTTAAATGTGGATGGATGGATAATTGGATGGGGATATAGAATATTGCTCTGCTTCATGTTTTATCGCAATATAAATAAATCCATTCACACTTTAAATCTGGAAACTGGAGCCGCTCAGTTTCCTAATCAGTGAATCTTTAACTTCCTGTTAGTAACAGCAGTTTTCCAAACCAGAACCTGGCTTCCCTATCCGTCTGTTTTCATTTTTATCCGCTACAAACAGAAAAATCCCTCAAACTGACAGAAATATCACAAAGTTAAAGTTGGGCTTCTCGGCGCCTGAACAGCAAACACTCACCTGCTCCTGAAAGACGACAGGAGCAACAAAACAAACTTTCTCCACCTGCAGACACGACGGAGAGAAGAAGCGGGTTTATTTTTAGAGGATCAGCGGGCCAAGGTTGGAGAAGCGGATTCAACAGGTGGCTCTGATTGGTGGGGCAGGTGGGTCCATCATGGCGGACAGGAAGCACGGAGAAAACACAACAATAACAATAACAGAGGCCGATCAGCAGCTTCAGGCTCACTCAGGTAATGAAAAGCTATAAAAGTTAGAAATACATTGAAATAAGGGCCTAAATATCAGAATAAAGAAACGCCTCATTAATAATTTATGGATGGATTATTGGATGTTTATATGTATTATTGTTCACTCCACCCAGTTTGTTTTGCTGATTATAAGTTCGTTTTCCATTGCGGTTCGTTAGTTTGTCAGGTTTTATGTCCCGCCTTAATCAGCAGATATTTCCTAGATGTCATCGAATGCTACTGTTTAGTGCGTTTCTGTTTTAGTTGGTTCCGCTTCGTTCTGCTGAGGAGCTTTAATCACCGAGTGAAGCAACGTGATTTATTTGTGTCAAGGTAAATAAAACCTTTTTTTCCCACAGACATCCTGACGTCATCTGGGCCTGATCCCAACTGGCTGCATCAGAACCGACCGACTTCACTTATGATTCACTAAAACACTTTAATTCAGAGGATCAACTTATTCTGCAGCTGTTATTTAAAAAGGCTTTTGGTCTTTTAGATAATAGAACTGTTGTAACATAAACAGTTCTGACCTCGGTCGGCCATTTTGACCGGTAGTTGGGAAAACCAGCCGGTTTGGCCACGGATCGTTATATATTCGCTGTAAATCTGTGAGCGGTCCAGGTCGTTTCACGGGCCGGTTGGGAAACTCTCACCCTCTTTCCAGATGTCTGAGTCCAGAGGTTTAATCTGCAGGATTTCCTCCCCGGTTTCCTCCGCCCCGCTTCGACTTTACAGAGAAAACTAGCAAACATCACCTCCGTTTCCCCTTTAAAATAACAAAAAAACAGTCCACTGGCTTCTTATTTATTAATCTGTCCCCTGCAGAGCTGAAATCTGGAAATTAACCCCCCCAAAATGCAATAAAATATGGATTGTTAATTTATTTAGGTGCATTTAAGGTCAGAAAGAAAAGTAAAATATCCACAATAATTGATTCCATCTTCCGCTCCCTCGGAGCGCCTGCTGCTGATTTATTTGAATGTAATTAAATTAAAGTTGTTGCTAATGAAAATTACTTTAACCAATAAACAAATGAGCTCTACTTTTGTTCCGTCTTTTTCTAAACAAAAAGAAGTGGGTAGAGAGCCCAAAAAATTTCACTTCAACATATTATTACTCAAATAAAAGTAACGGCATATACATATAAAAAGTTAAATCAGAGAAATTGTTCATTTTAAGTAGTCAAGTTTTTCCAGAGCTGTATTTGAAAAGCAGAAGTGGAGCCTCCTGTGCAACCAACAAGAATGCAGCAAGTGGCTTCTTCACGGTAATTCAACAAAACACTTGTCTTTCCCAGCAGCCATTGTACAACGCATGCAGCGGTAAAACCAGCTGATCAAACGTGCTGGAACTCAGCCACGGTTGCTAGGTAACGGGCGGAATTCCACTGGGGTTGCTAGGTAACAGCTAATGTGTGATGTTACATTCCAAAGATATTTCAAAGGGCTCACTTTCCAGACACCAAAACACATTAATTTATAGACAAATAGCAGCTGGGTGCGTTTTTTAAGTGTCTGGTTTGTTTTTAAGTCTTTCAAATGGAAAGACAAAAATGTGCAAAATGTGAATTTGTCATAGCAGATTCAATGTAAGTGCTAAAAAAACCCAAAAAAAAACAAGACATGCTGCTCACAGCAGTCATCAGAGGACTCCTCTGGCTTTCCCCGTCTGAAGCAGCTTTAATTGTGTTTGTCTGAACGTCACCTTTAACCTTTAGAACAAAACACAGTAGCAGCTCAACAGGTCCCCAGTGAACAATGAGGCCGGACTTAACAGGAAGCGCCGCAGTATTTATGGAAATTAACTCAAGAGACATGGTTCACCGTCGTTTTCACATGTGTGAAACATCCTGCTGTGACGTCAGGAAGCAGTGATGTCATCACATCACCGACGTCTGATTGGATGATCAGAAACAAACAAGAAAACCGCACGAAACAGGAACAGCTTTCTGGTTTATTCCCAACTTGATACGTACAGAAAAAGTGTTTATATTTCTCCAAACATCATGTAAAAGACTTCTGGAAACAAAACAATTGCACATCAGCTTCTTCTTTTTTTTTTCTTACTTCCATTTCAGTTATGCTTCATCAAAACAAAAACAAAAAAAAACAGTATGGCTGAAGATAAACAGGATAGAAACACTGACGGTGATGGCCGCCGTCGATCTGTGAAACAAATCGCATCGCGTCGACTTTGTGTGAAATGTTCAGATTTATTTTCTCAGGCACTTTTTGAGATATGAGAGAAACACTTCCTGTGGTCTGAATGTGGGATTAAAAGCATCAAAACGTCACAGAAAAGGATCTCTGCACGTTTTAAAATCTCCTCGGTAGAAGTAAAGACTCATTTTGATGAAATCTGATCTTTTCATCCATTTCGCGGCTTTTATTCATCATTTCCTCTTTAATGTTGGACCTCCATCTGGTTTGTTTGCTAGTTACGGTCAGTTTTGCATTCAAGCTCCTCTGAAACTAATTTATTCTTTTTGTCCTGGAGCAGAAAATCTGCCTATCAGCATTTTCCAAGCTGCCGGGAATAATAATAATAAAATTACCACCTCCAGACGCTTCAAACCAAGCTTGTAATTAAATTTTTCCAGGTTTTTACCGACGCTAACACACAGGAGATCAATGCAGTGTCACTTGTGGTCCTCGCAGCATCCAGCCTAAGGGCCGATCCCAGCAGCTTTCCACATTAAATCATCTAAATGTGATCCACAAACAGAAACTCATCCTCTCTGTTTGGTTTGAACTAAAACTTTCTGACATTTTGGATTTTTTATAGCTCATTGACAAAATTAGCTATAAATGACATTCTTCTGATCTTTTCTAATTTCTCTGCAAACTTTGGCTTTTAGCTAACAAATCAGAGGAAGAAAAATCCCAGTAGTACAGCTGAAACTTTATCTATGCTCAATCAGACAATCTGTAAAGGTTATTAAAGGTTATTTTGTGAACTGAACTGGATAAATGACACGTTACACTGTAAAAACACAAAATCTTACCAAGTATTTTCAAGTTTCTAGTGCAAATATCTTTGTGCACTTATGACTTATAAGTAACTGCAAGATAAATAAGATTGTTTTAAGTCAATAATTCTTCAATGTAGATGCAGAAAGTACTAGTTTCATTGGCAGATTTTTCACTTAAAACAGGAAAAATGTCTAGTTATAAAACTAGTCGTTTATCTAGATACAAGAATTATTTACTTTTTCTCCTTTTTCTTGCTAAAAAGTTTCTTCTGTTAGTTTTGTCTTATTTCAAGTGTGTTAAGATATTTGCACTAGAAACTTAACAAAAATACTTGGTAATATTTTGTGTTTTTTAAGTGTAAAGTGGGAAAAATTTTAAAATTTTTCATCTTAGTTTAATTTTTTGCATCATAAAACCTGGCTAACTAGTGGCGGGCATCGCTAGCCATAATATTAGTCGAGCTAACGCTAAAGCACTACCTGTAAACATTAGTTCTGCTAAGCAACGCAGCAACACAATATTTAGCAGAAGCTAATGCTAACGTGCTAGCCTCAGTTCAAATGATATCTGCTCTTGAGAACCAATTTAATATCGTATTCTGGACGTTTTATTTTGCTAAAAAGACAGAAATGAGGACAGGAAGTGGAACTGCTTTGTAAACAGTCTTCACCCCCTTCAAAATAACAGCATGAATATAAACATTTAACTAGTTGAATAATTTTCAACTAATGTGACAATTAATAAAACTCCAACACAGATGCTGAACTTTATTCAAATGAAAGTTTATAAAGTTGTAAAGTAAATTTGAGCTTTCTTTAGAACATTTTTTTAGGGGAAGCTAAGTGCGCTAAATATGTTCAAAGTTAGCAAAAAGCGCTAAGCAAAACAACCTAGCTCATTTTCTGATTAATCAAATTTGCTGTTTATATTTTTGGAAAATCAGATTTTTTTTTTTTTACCAATTGACATTTTGAGTTTTTTAATTCAGAGTAATGTCAGGCCTACCATGTTTTATGACCTGGTTTATGTTTAATTGCATGCTTTCAGCTCAATTTAGAGTTAATATTCCATCAGGTGCTAATCCACCTCATTTGCTTTTGCCACCCCTCAAAGTACAAAGTGATCTTTAGGGGGTGTACATACTTTTTAAATAAACTTTCCCAGCTGAGAGCCATAAGTGCGACTGCATTAACCTCCATTGTTGCCGTAACAGAATCAAACTCACAACTTGAACCCATCTGCATGAAGAACCTCAGTTTTTTACGCGCTTCCTGTGGTTTTCCAACCTGCTCTCTGAAATCCAGCAGCATTCGGTTCATTTATCGACTGCTGTTTTTAAAAGCAGGATGCGCCTCCTCCCCCCACCCACCTGCTGCCTCTATTTAAAATCACTGCAGCGAGGAGTGTCTGCTAAATGCTTAAAAAGGTATAAAAAACAAAAAAAAAAACACAAAAAGCAATTATGGCAATTTGGAGCAATTAACTCCAGAGGACAATTTTGCCTTTTGTTAAAAACCAGCATAAAGGGGCTGCAGCTAATTTCACACTGGGAGCGGCATTGTCTCCCCGCCGATCTTTATTCTGCCTCCTTTTATTCGGCTCGTCGTGTCAGAAGCCGGGCCCTCTGTCAGAGCCTCTGGTGGCGGCGTTTTTCTGGCTCCGGGAGGCAGCAGGTGGCTTCTGATGAAAAATTCAGTGCAGAGCGCCGACTCGGGAGAGAGGAGGAGGAAGGGAGGCGGGGGGATGAATATGGAGGTGTTGAGGTAGAAGAAAGGAGCGTAATGAACAGAGAGAGGAAGAATGAAAGGAGAAGATGGAGCTCCAGACAGACAGGCAGGGAGGCGGGCGAGCGAGCGGAGCCCAGCGCTGCGCTGAGGGGCCAGGCTAGAGGATCAGAGATGCCTACCCTCTCTGCCTGACTCTCCTCCACGGAGATAACACACACTATGAATCATTTATGAGGAGGGCTTTTATTAATAACACACACACACACACACACACACACACTCTCTCTCTGG